CTGCTACGGGCCCTGCTAGACCTGAGGGAGCAGCAGGAGGAGATGAGCAGGAACAACTGAAGCACGACCCCATGCAGGACTGAGCTCATGGCCATGGTTTTCAAAAGCAACATTAGCCACCCACAACTCCACCTGAAGCGACTGGAGCTGTGGGACTTAGCCATTCCCTAAAATGAAGCCACTACTCTTGTTTCACTCTGTATTTCTAATCAAGTGTTTAGTTCTGCTGTGCCTCTTGCATTTGGTACTACCTGGTGTGAAACTTGTCATTTAGAGAGTAGGTGGGACTTGGCTGTGCAGGTGCAATGCTGCACTGACAGAAGAGCTCTGTCTGTGGAGTACATCTCTGCCTGTGCCATTCGTCCCATCCCCACACCTCTTGCTTTGCAGTATTTTAATGCACTTGTTGGCATTAATAAAGTGATGCTTTTATCCTAGCTTCAGTTTTCTGGTCTTTTTTTCCTTCCTCTTGGTTGCTTCAAGCCCCATCCCACCTGGCCTGGAACACTCCCAGGGATGGATGGAGCAGTCACAGCTTCACTGGGCAATATGTGCCAGTGCCTCATCATCTCATAGGGAGGAATTCCCTCCTAATATCCAATCTCTCCCCCCTCCCTGTCAGTGTGAAGCCATTTCCCCCTCATCCTGGCACTACCTGTTCTTGTAAATAGTAAATCCCTGCGAGTAAATAGTCTTTGTTAAAATTAAGGACCTGAGACCTAAGATTTGCAACAGCCACTGAAGACACCAAACTGCTCAAGTTTGGGGTAAAACTGCAGAGATTCTCATGCTGAAAAAGTTTGGGGCATTCAAAGAGCTTCAGTTATATAAATTAACTTGCAGCAGGTTGAATTGTCCCCAGCAGTTCATTTGCTCATGGTTTATGTACCAGTCTAGTCTCAGCCTGGCACCAGATGAAAAACCTTCCTTAAAGCTTCTTTCATCTCCAGGACCTGAGGATCATTTAATGCCTTGAACCATCCGGCTCAAGGCTCTGAAGTCAAATAATGACACAAATTTCAACCCATGCAGCAATTTGTCAGCTCTTTGGCAATTCAGTTCCTGCCCAGCTCGGCATGGAAGGTCTGGTTTGCTACACAAAAGGTTTTAATTGAGTGTGCAGAGTGTGAAACTCCATTCCTGATCCCTAAACAAGAGCTGTTGTGTCCTGGTTCAGCATCCAAAGCTCCAAAGCTTTCAGCTGATCTCTGGGTGCTAATTACTAAATTGGCAGAAAATCAATGAGAACATTTCCGGGCTGTTAATGAATCTTTCTGAAGATTATCAAACCTCTAAGAAAAACTCTTTCCGTGCCCAGAGGGAAGGATGAGGAAAAGGAAACATTCCTTGGCGATCTCAGCTCTACAGATGAAAGGGAATTTGATTCTTCCAGTCACTGATATCTTTCTCCTGGTGGAAGGAATTCATTTCCTTAAGATATCTGAAAGGACTACGGGGAGAATGTTGGATAGCAGAGATTTTGAGGAAAAGGAGGCAAACAGCTCTCTCCTTTTATATCAAACCTTGTACAGGAAAGGAGAGGAGAATTTCCTTGCAGAGAAAATTTCCTAAAGGATTTCATAGAAAACAAACATTTGGCTTAGTTTTTTTAGATGAATTATAAAAAGTATTTGATAAAATAATTTAAGTTTCTGCAGGTGTTTAGCTAGAATCAGTTTGTGAAGTCCTGTGAGTGATCTTGACTCACATACTTTGAAATGAGGTGGTTGTTCAGACATCCCTCCCTTGAGCATTGGGGCTGAGATCTCCTCACATTAGGCAGCACAAAACTTTGCATATTTGAGCCATTAGTGAGAAGGTGTTGTGAACTTTGAAGTCCTTTGTTCTTCTGAAGTCCAAGACCAACCTGTGTATAAAGACACTCTGCACTTAGAGCTAATTCCCATCTCTTGCAGAGGTGCCAAGAGGAGACACCTGATCCTGCTTTTTGCATACTTTCTGTCCTTGCAGGTATTTCCAGCAGGTTGGAGAACAGCCAGGGCTGGGCACTGCTGGCTGTGAAACAAACCATGGCAGGATAAATGGAGTAAAGAGCTGCTGGATGTAAGTTCTGCTGACGCTGTAGTTTGGCTCAGACAGAGCCTCTAAACCCCAATATTTGAAAGCAATTGTTAGCCTTAATTCGTTGTGAAAATTGCTGCACATCCTGGTGACTTCCTGGGATTTCAGGTGGGAATGATGGCGACTTTGGCATGGAAATGACATTAAAATGTATGACTGGGTGAAGAAGTTCAGGTTTGTGTGTGTTTGTGTTCATAAACACTGGGAAAACTGTGGCTTGGCCCAAGCAGTTCCAGAACGTGTTTTCCTGTCTCTGGTCAGCAATTCTCACCACTCTTAATGTCCTTTCAGCTTTGCAATACTCATGGAAATGTGGAGCTGTGTGGGCAGTGCAGCGTTTGGGACTATCTGTTCTGCATCTTGCCTTGTGGTAAAGCTGAGCCCTTGGAATGGGACACTTGTGGCCTGAGCCCAGGTCTCCACCTCAGAGCTGGGGATTATTCACCCAGAGGAGTGAGGTCTTGACTAAGGACAAACATCACACACTCTCCCCTGAAGCAGTGCCTTAATGACTGAAATGAAGCCTAAAACGTACATTGGCCTTAGGAGGGAATGTAATTAGTGCTGTAATTCACACGAGTCACCACAGTCTGCCAAGCAATTAAGCAGCTGCACATTGATGGAGATGAAAGCTTTGGAATGCGAATGTAATAAGAGGAGGAGAAAAACAGAGCGATACTAAGGGAGATCTTGAACCAACAAACCAACAACAACAAGAGTTGATCAGTTTCAGGATTTTGCATGTAAAACGATGGATCATTAGAGAATTCCATGCATAGTAAATAGCTCTGCTCTGCAGGGCAGCCTGGACCATGGTATAAAAGCCTATACAGCACAAGCTTTTTCCATCCACTTCTCTTGCCTTACTCGCCCAGGTGAACAGGTAAGTCTGAACCTCCCCAGTGCCTTTTTAAATGCTAAACTGCTACTTTGATGACTCCTTTTATTTGACTTTTTGTTGTTGGTTATTCTTAGTTCTTTATAAATATTGCTAGTTGGGGTTTTTTTTTGTCCTTGAAGGGCAAATTAGAAAGGTTTGTTACTACCAAACAGAAAGGTTTTCTTTACTTGTGAGGCAGAGAGTAATGAGGCAGGACTTGGGGGATGCTGGCACTGTTGTCTCTCAAAACAAGCAGTTTGTGCTCCATTTCAGAGGGCTTTGAGACCACTAAGGGAGTAGAGAGCTAAGGGTCCTGACTAGCTTCTCCAGAAAGACAGTGCAAAGGGACACAACCAAAGAATGGGAAATCCCTTCCCCTCCTGCCTGACTTCTATGAACTTACTTCAGCTTTGAAACTGCATTTCCTTTGTTCCCTGTGTTTCAGACTTCCCTCTGTCCTACAGATATGTCTTCCTACGACCTGTGTTGTCCCACCTCCTGTGGCCCAACCCCTCTGGCCAACAGCTGCAACGAGCCCTGTGTCCGACAGTGCCAGGACTCCACGTACGTGATCCAACCTCCTCCCGTGGTGGTGACCCTGCCTGGCCCCATCCTCAGCTCCTTCCCCCAGAACACTGCTGTGGGATCCTCAGCCTCTGCAGCTGTTGCGTGGGCAGCACCCTCAGCTCTGAGGGGGTGCCCATCAACTCTGGCAACTCCTCAGGGTTTGGCAGCTTTGGCTACCCAGGCCTGGGCAGTGGGTACAGTCGGCCCAACCGGCGCTACAGCTCCTACCGCAGCGGCTTCGGAGAGCCCTGCTAGACCTGAGGAGCCACCAGGAATGCTGGAGCATGACCCCACACAGGACTGAGCTCATGGCCACAGTTTCCAGATGGGATGTTAGCCACCCACAACTCCAGCTGAAGTGAACGGAGCTGTGGGAACTTGGCATCTCCTCACACGAGGCCTTTGCTTGTCTTGTTCTTTGGTACTTCATATTGCTGATGACATGTAGTTTCTCCTATTGCTGTAAATGGGACTTTGCTGCCTCAGTTCACAGCAGCACTGAGAAAAGGGACCTAGGATGAAAAGCCATATTAGCTCTTGCCTTGTTGAATCCTAGAAATATAGACTTAGGTTTGTACTTTATTGTTCTGCTTTTTTGCTCTCATTAAAGTTATGCTGCATATCAATCAAAGGCTCCTGATGTTTCTTTGAGAAGCTTTTGCCAGCTTAGTTTTTGCAAGATTTCTTACTGTTCCTCAGTTTTAGACACTGAAAAGGGTTGACAGAGTTACTGATGGACAGTCCCTTGCTGCAGGCATTCAGCCTGGGGAAGAGAAGCTTTGGGGTGATCTAATTGTGGCCTCCAGAACCTGAAGGAGCTGACAAGAAACAAGAGACAATTTCAAGAATGCCAGGACAAGGGGGAATGGCTTCACACAGACAGAAAGGTTAGATTGGATATTAGGGATGAATTCCTCCCTGTGAGGTGCTGAGGCACTGGCACAGGTTGCCCAGAGAAGCTGTGGCAGCTCCATCCCTCGGAGGGTTCCAGACCAGGTTGGATAGGGTTTGGAGCAACCTGAGCTGGTGGGAGGTGTCCCTGCCCATGGCAGGGGGTGGAACAGGATGGTCTCTAAGATATCTTCCCACACAAACCATTCCATGATCTGCAGAATTCAAGGACAGGCTGAATTTTCATCCAAGCTTATTTTGAACATGAAATCCTTCTTCTTCTTCCTGGGATGGAAAACATGAGAGCAATGTGTGTTAATTCTAGGTCTCCAAAAAAGTAGACTGTGAACTTTTCCTTCCTAAATGACTGATGGAAATAAAGGTAAAAATCAGGGATTTGGGATATAACTCAGGAAAATGCAGGTGAGTGATACCTGATGTAACCCTTGGCACAAAGAAACACCTTGTGCAAAGGGTTTGTCCCAATTATTATAAGCAAACCCTTGCTCTGAGGTGGTGGAATACAACTCCCCTTTCATCAGCCTCAGTGGCACCAGGACATTGTTGTGCCAGGCAGGTGGAGCTGAGAGCCAGGGCCATGGGTAGAGCAGCACTAATGACTCTCTTCCAATTTGAAATGTAATTAAAATCTGCATTTGAAAAATCACTCAAACATATTTGAAACAGAAACCAAACCCTCCCATTTTGGGTGTGTTGTTTTGCAGAGCTTTTGGTGAGTAAACCATTTCTCCCCTCAAGCAGAAATTAACTTGTGTTATTGTTTTTTGCTGTTCTCAGAGGAATTCCAGTATAATTCCCACACTGCCCCTGGCTCCTTGCAGAGATGTTCCACACATGTGTGTCCAGGGGTTAGGGCACATTATTTCTTGACAAAAAGGAGGATTGTAACATAAATGATTGAAACTTATTACATCACAGTAAGATGCAAGCCCAGATCTCAAACTTTAGTGATTTGAAAGTTCTTCCTCACAGTATTTGAATGACATTAGCAACAAAGTGAACTCCAGTCAAGGATGAACCTTGAGGATCACATATCTACGTGTGCTTGAACACCTTTGCCTTCAGGGGAGCAGAAGTTGGGAAGCTCAGGCTCTGCCTCCACCAAAAAGCATCTGAGATCACACTGCAATGTGATCTGCTCCTCTGCCTGGGCTGAGCATAGATGAAACCAGTAACGAGTGGTGGGAGCAATAAACCAGCAGTGCCAGGCAGAGGCAACCTGAACTAAACAACTTTCAGCTGTAGCTGCACCTTCAGGTGTAAACAATTTGCCATCCAGAGGGACCTGGGCAGGCTGGAGAGGTGGGACTGAGCCAACATCATGAAGTTCAACAAAGGGTCAGGGCAATCCCAGGCAGGTTGAGTGAGGGGATTTTGCCCCTCTAGTCTACTGTGGTCAGACCCCCTCGGAATATTGCACACTGTTTTGGTGCTCCCAGCATAAGAAGGATGTGGAAATGTTGGAACAAGTCCAGAGGAGGCCACAAAGTTGCTAAGGGAACTGGAGCCCCTTCCCTATGGAGAGAGTTGAGGTTGTTCAGGCTGGAGAAGAGAAGGTTTTGTGGAGACCTCGCAGCACCTTCCAGGCTCTGAAGGGGCTCCAAGGAAGCCAGAGAGGGACTCAGTCAGGAACTGGAGTGACAGGACAAGGGGGAATGGGTTCAAGCTGACAGAGGCTTTGCATGTTGAAGCTTTAATAAAGCTCCTGATAAACTTTGAAGTTCTCAGGAACCTCTGCCCAAGCCGAACAAGTTCTGTTCCCAGGGGATCCTCGCAAAGACAGCCCTAATTGAGGGGTGATTTACATGTCTCAGTAGCTGAAGTGCAAGGAGAGCAAAAACCTCAGTACTAATCTCTGTGTCTAGGATTGCTCATGGATTTTACCCCTTTACTATTTATCCTGAAAGTCCTCCTTGTGGAAGAGGTTCAATGCCAATGTGCAATCCCAAAGCTGCTGTAGAGGTGGTAGAGTCACCAGCCCTGGAGGTGTTCAAGGAAGGACTGCACTTAGTGCTCTGTTTTAGTTGACAAGCTGGAGAATAGTTACAGGTTGGACTTGATGGTCTTAGAGGTCTTTTCCAACCCCAATGATCCTGTGAAAAGCAGTTTGAATCCCCAAACTCCAAATGCTCATGGGTTAACTTCCAAAAGCTGCAATTCCTCATGGTTTCCACCAGGATTTACCTTGCAGGGGAGGGTACAAACCACTGCACTATGCAAATGATGCTTAATCTCCCTTAATGACACCAAGCAGACCCAAAAGAGTTTTGAAGGCAGAAGAAATCCTTCTGAGTTAATCATTCTAGTGTTCCCAAGAATTAACTTGGCCTAGCATATTTTAAGATGAAAGAAACCTGTGGTCAGATATACATGCCACAAGATAAGGAAGTCAAGGAGTAATGAACACAAATACTGAGGAAAAAAAACATATAATCAGTAGTGGCTCATAAATAACTTGATGCACAAAGAGTGGCCCGAGTTGTTGGGCAACTTAGGACTTGGTATATAAACCTGAGCTACTCAAGGCTCTTCCAGCCATTTCTCTTGTCTTCTTTGCCATCGTGAATAAGGTAAGTCTGAACTCGTTTGTTCCCTTTGTATATTGAACTATTGCCTTGATGATTTTGTAGCTTTTCCTCCCTCATGTTGTAGCACATTCAGCTTTTTTTTCTCGGAGGTAGTGAAGGGTTTTCATATGAAAAAGTTTTCTGTGGGTGGTGAGTTCTAAAAGTCATTAATGTGGCAATTAGCCACATTAGCCAGTTAGGGCTATTTATTCAGCTCTGGGATCCAAACAAGCTTTCAGGTCCTGCAGCTGAACATGAAATATCTGGAGTGAATTCTTGGGTCTGTTTGGAGTTGTGGGACCAAGTGTAACACAGAGACCAAGTGTGATGGTCAGTGCAAATTCAGCTAAGAGGATCAGAAGAACATTAAGAACTTAGTTTCTTCCTCAATTCCTTGTAGCTTTTCCAGGATCCTTGGAAAGCTGTTGTTGTCCTGATAACTGAGCCAATGTGAGTGTAAAGCGACTCTGACATTGCATTCACTTCTCCTCCTGTGTTTCAGCTTTGCCTCCAGCCACAGCCATGTCCTGCTACGACCTGTGTTCTCCCACCTCCTGTGGCCCAACCCCTCTGGCCAACAGCTGCAACGAGCCCTGTGTCAGGCAGTGCCAGGACTCCACGTACGTGATCCAACCCTCTCCCGTGGTGGTGACCCTGCCTGGCCCCATCCTCAGCTCCTTCCCCCAAAATACCACCGTGGGATCCTCAGCCTCTGCAGCTGTTGGAAGTGCTCTCAGTGCTGGAGGTGTCCCCATCAACTCTGGTAGCTCCTTGGGCTTGGGGAGCCTTGGCTACCCAGGCCTGGGCAGTGGGTACAGTCGGCCCAACCGGCGCTACAGCTCCTACCGCAGCGGCTTCTACGGGCCCTGCTAGACCTGAGGGAGCAGCAGGAGGAGATGAGCAGGAACAACTGAAGCACGACCCCATGCAGGACTGAGCTCATGGCCATGGTTTTCAGCCTGGGATGTTAGCTACCCACAGCCTGAAATGAACAGAGCTGTGGGAGCTTGGCATCTCCTCACACGAGGCCTTTGCTTGTCTTACCTTTGTTATGCTTTGCTTCATATTTCTGATCAAGTGTCTTGTCCTGCTTTTTGTATTGTATTTGATAACGACTAGGCCAAGATGTAATTGTTAGATTGTTCTGCATGGCTGAATTAGCACAGCTGCTTAATCAATGAAGAAGATTTCAGGTTGCTGAGTGTGCCACTGTGAGAGGGATGAGTGGGTTCTGTCCTTATTGGACCATGGAAATGTAGTCCTTACCCTTTACATTGCTTTTTCCATTCCTCAGCCTCATTAAATTTGTGCTGCATCATACTCTGAGTGTGCCTGTACTTCTTTCCTTTCCAAGCCCCTTTTCCAGCTTGTGTGTGATGAAAACTGGTCCCTTTGCAAGTCATCAGTTCCAGAAAACACCATGTAAACAACTTCATGCCAATTACCAAAGGAGAACGAGGCAGATTTCAGCTGTGGAAAATGTTTTTGGTTTGTGTGTACACAGTCAAGTCTGAGATCACCCAGCAAAGGCTTAGAAAGATGATCTTCATCTGCAATTGCTGTGTCTCCTGTTGAGGCACAAGCAGCAAAGCTTTAAAGATGTGATACTTGGGAAGACACCTTTAAAAGAAGGGAGTTGGGCTGAGCATGCTCAGGGAAAAGGTGGTGGGAGAGAGGCAGCAAGTTGAGGCTGCTTCGGAGTGCAGCCCTGAGCTTTCTCTTGGCAGCTGAGGTCACACCCTGGTAAATCTTGGAGGGGAGGAAGGGAAGGATGTATATTGTTTTCGCATGGGAATTTGCCTTTGGAATGTGCTGACCTGGAAGCATGTCTGGAAGAAAGAGATTAAAGGACAGAAGTATTTGAAAGAGTTTGAAGTTGTAACCCTCTCTTAGTGTGTCATTTATTTTGCTGTCTCCTATCTCTTGTCTGGTAGAGCTGAACTTTATCAGGTGTTGCTTTGCTCCACCTTGATTGTCTGTGCTGGGATACAGGTGATGTTTAGGGACTGGCAGCTTTGGTCCCTGGAGGAAGAAGGTTTGGAAAGCTCTACCTGAAGGGTTTGGCTGAGTCAACATCCTGTCAGCCCATGCAGCTCACAGCCTGATATCTTCAAAACCTCTTGCTTGGAGTCTCTGGCTGTGTCTGTCCAGACTGATGTTGAGCTGTAATTAAAGCCAGGGAAAGATGTTGATGAAGTTACTTTGACTGCAGCCATTAGTGGAGCTAAATTAAAGGAGGTAAATGAAGCCCATGAGAGAATCATTAATTTGAAGGAGTAGCTTTTCTTAATGAAGAAGAGAAGGGAAAGTTGGCAGTTTGATGTTAGAACACAATGGAAGGTTGGTCTGAATTAAATGTCTAATATATTTTTGCCATCTCAACTGTAGTTATTCCTTGATCAAAGACAATGAACTCCAAAGAAGTCAATGGCTGCAAAGAGCTATGACTAAGGCACTAGAGTGAAGGTGTCTTTAGCATATTTAGGTGGATATTTCTCATGGCAAAGTCCATTTCTCTCCTCTTGCAATCCCTTCTCACCAACTGAACCAAACCTCTTCACAGAGGAAACCCTTGTGCATGCAGACTCCTTCCAAAGTTGGTCAACTGAACCAAACCTCTTCACAGAGGTAACCCCTGTGCATGCAGACTCCTTCCAAAGTTGGGATGTTTCCTTCAAGCATTCAGAAATCAAATCAGAAGGGGCTGATGTTCAGCTCACTCCAAAACAAAGAGCAAAGACAATCTTCAAACATTTCCCCCCTTCATTCCTGCCCCAAACTGCCCCTTGACAGGATCTGAGGACAATTCCACCCCCTGCCATGGGCAGGGACACCTCCCACCAGCCCAGGCTGCTCCAAACCCCATCCAACCTGGCCTGGAACACCTCCAGGGATGGAGCAGCCACAGCTTCTCTGGGCAACCTGTGCCAGTGTCTCACCACCCTCACAGGGAAGAAATTCTTCCCAAGAGCTGGAGCAAGTTGTTCCCATAGAAGAAAGGATAACACAAGCTGTTTATGCGAGACCCTGAAATATTTGCCACTGGTGTCAGTGAGAATGTGTTTCAATACCAAATTCTGTACAGCTGAAGCCAGAACTGCAAAGTTTGCCGTGCTTACAGGGGTAAAGGAAGAGGCAGAAGGCTCTGAGGAGCTTCTAGAGCTTCCTCAGGGGATCTGAGACATTCCTGCACATTGATTAACCAGTGCCTGCAGGAACTGTTTGGTTTGCAGCTGGCTGGGATCCCACTAGGGAAAAGTTGTTTACTGTTGATGTTTATTGCCAGGATTTATCCTGGTGATGGAGGGAAACCATGACCCACTGTGCCTCTTTCATCTCTTTGCTTTGCATCCACTAAGTATTCCTGGCTCCATTCTCCTGACTCCACCTGCCAAAATGTGCATGAGTCAAAATCCTATTTGCTTAGGAATTTTGGCTGCTCTTTAGCATTTTGCTCACACACGTAGGAGCACCATCTGCTGTCACAGCAAAGGCTACAATTGAAGTCCTGAGTGTGCAATTTCATCCCTGATAAGTGACCGTGAGGTTTAGGATCACTAGTCTTTGGGCTAACGCTCATTGGAATATTCCAAATATTTCAGCTCCTGGGATGAGAAGATTGAGTCAGACAGACTAATTGGGGCTATCATCACCCTCAGAAGTGGACCTGTGACTCTTTTTATCTTCTCTACACCTTTTGATGAGTTGGTTTTTAAAACCACAAGTTCTTTTATGGTCAATAGGTAGTTCTTGCTGTAAGAAAACATTAAAGAATCATGGAATGGTTTGGGTTGGAAGATCATTCAGTTTCACCCCCTGACATAGGCAGGGACATCTTCCACCAGTCCAGGTTGCTCCAAACCTCATCCAGCCTGGCCTGGAACACCTCCGGGAAGGTACCAGCCACAGTTGCTCTGGGCAACCTGTGCCAGTGCCTCAGCACCCTGACAGGGAAGGATTCCTTCCCAATATCCATCCTAACCCTCCCCTCTGTCCGTTTGAAGCCATGAGAGACTATTCACTCTCTGACACTATGGTGTCACTGATGGGAATCATCACATCTGAGGACATCCAGTGACTCATGGCTGGAATTGAGTGTTTTAACCTGTGACTTTGTGCAAATACTGATTTGTGTTTCAAGTGTAAAATGGAAGGACTGGAGTTTGTGAGGAAGTTTGTGACATTCATTAGTAATCTTGGTCACCAATTTCAAACCCTGGTCATGTTCAAAGAGTGTCCCAGACCTGCCCAATCTCTGAGATTTCACTATTTGCATGTCTGAGGCTGATGAATTTGTTTTATGAACTTTGAAGACTTTTCTTCTTCAAAAGTGTTCAACCAGCATTTATTTCCCAGGAGATGTCCGAGACGATATTCCCAGTTCAGAGGGGATTTGCATGTCTCTGCCTAAGTGGTTTAAACATGAAGAGAGGTTGGAACACTGATCCCTGCCCTGAGGTCTGTGTGTGCATTGTCTGCAATGACTTTTTAATCTAGAAATTGCCTTTGAAAAAGAACTGGAATTGCTGCACACTGTGATACTCTTTGAGAGAGGCTAAATGAAGGCAACAACTTGCTTTCAAGAGAGGAAAAAAGAACCAGAGCATTCTAAACTTCTCTAAATTGCTGCTAGTCATTTGGAGAAGGATTTTGCATAATAGTGTGCAAGGGGAAAGTCACAATTGAATGGCAAATGTAAAACCCTTTGGCAGAGTCTTTAATGACCCCCTAGTGAGCTTCTGCAAGGCTTGGAGTGTCTCTGACCAGCCTGGAATCCACATGCATCCTCCCCCTGACCTCAATTGCTTCCCTGGCATTTGCTGCAGGAAGAAAGCTAAACCTGAAGACTCCTTAGATGAAGGACTTTGACGCTCAGAGCTCAAATTGAAGAGTTGTGTCTCAAATTCCTCCATGGAAATGTAGAGGTATCATGTGTAATAGGAATAGATCAAACTGCTGATGCTCTTTCATCCTGGCTCCTGAGTCAGGAAAGCAAAATGGTCCCTCAAATCAGCTATTTCCCAGTACCTTTGGTGAAATCTAATCAGCTCTGCCAAGAGCTTTTCTCTAACAGTTTGATTTCCTGAATTGGTGCTGCTGCTCAAGAGGAATTTGGCAAAACTACAGTGCAATTCTGAAGCAGAAATCAGAACTTTTGGCCTTTTCAGTGTGAGATGTGTCAAAAACTTGTGCTCTCCGTGAAGAGAGAGGAGGATTTCACAGGGGTCTTCACATACAACTTTCCTCAACAATGTATTCATGTGTGTCATGGCACATATTGTCCTTAGGATGCAAAATAACTCTTCTAGTAGCTCAGATGAATCAGTTCATCTGACCAGGAACTAAAAAGGCTCCAAAGATTGCAAGATAAAAGAAATCTCTCCAGAGGAATGCATACATTAGGGGGAGGAAATGAAATCCAGGCAATAAACACACAGAGTGGGGAAAAAGTAAATCACCAGCCAGGAATATTTTGCATATGAGAAGTCCTTAGCAATTGGCTGGGAAATAGCTACGTGCACAGAGTATGTCTCAGGTCCTCAGGCTCTCCAGCACAGAGTATAAAACCTGGCAGAGTCAGAGGAGCTGCATTCACTTCTGCTTTGTTCTCCTTGCTGAATAGGTAAGTCTCAATCTACTTCCTATTTTTCCATGTCCTGAATTGTTGCCTTCACTGTATTTTATGTTTGTACTGTCTTGTCTGTCAGTCCAAGCTTTGAGCTCTGTAACAGTGTTTGGGGGAGACTTGGAAGCAGTTTTGCCTCTAGGATAGGGCAGCTGTTCTGGGAGGGATGGTGGTTGCTGGACACAGGACTTCAGACTTGTTCTTCCTCTGTGTCACCAAATCATTCTGTTCCCAATGTCCCTTCCCT